CACACTCCCAGCAGTCTCCAGAGACTCAGTCACTCACTCACTCACTCAGTCACTCACTCACCAGAGCCAGTCACTCACTCACTCACTCACTCAGTCACTCACTCACTCGCTCACTCACTCACACTCACAGAGCCTGTCATCCAGAGACTGCAGAAGGGGCTGCGGCGCGCGTTGTCGCCGCTGGGCCCCCCTCTCTCTCTGCAGTGGCAGGCGCAGTACCAGAGCCTCCAGAAGGGGCTGCGGCGCGCGTTGTCGCCGCTGGGCCCCCCTCGCTCTCTGCAGTGGCAGGCGCAGTACCCAGAGCCTCCAGAAGGGGCTGCGGCGCGCATTGTCGCCGCTGTGGCAGGCGCAGTACCCAGAGCCTCCAGAAGGGGCTGCGGCGCGCGTTGTCGCCGCTGGGCCCCCCTCGCTCTCTACAGTGGCAGGCGCAGTACCCAGAGCCTCCAGAAGGGGCTGCAGCGCGCGTTGTCGCCGCTGGGCCCCCTGCGGTTCTGTGCGTTACTGCCATTGTGATTTGCAAAGCAATGGTTGTGACAGGCTGCGAATCGCATTGTAATGGCTGCGGCCAGGATGTGCGCACACTGTGTCTGTGCACTACTGCCACTGTGATTTCCACAGTGTTGGTTCTCGCCGGTTCGGAATCGCATTGTACCACTCACTCACTCACTCACCACTCACTCACTCACTCACTCACTCACTCACTCACCACTCACTCCACTCACTCCACTCACTCCACTCACTCCACTCACTCCACTCACCTCACTCACTCCACTCACTCCACTCACCTCACTCACCTCACTCACCTCACTCACCTCACTCACTCACTCACTCACTCTCTCTCTCTCTCGTCCCTCTCATCCTTGTTCATCACATCATCAGACACTTTATCACACACCCACACACACACGTACGCCATCTTACCACGCACACACACCTCCTCCCTCCCCTCCTTCTCATCCTCGTCCATCACATCATCACTTATACTACACGTCTTAGCACAGCCGCCTCATATACCTTCTCTCCTCACACTTCGTTCTTGACTTTTCATCTCACTACTCCGTCTCCCATGTGCTTCATACACATCTGAAATTTGTAAAACTTATCATGTGGGGTTATCCGGTCCTTTTATTTTCTTCTTCTTGAACTGTTGACCAAGCGGTTACCCCAATTTTCGGTAAAGTGCTAACGCGCGATGTTCCAACAATTTCGTTTTGCCGACCCAGCACCCTTGCTGTTTGAGTTTTCAGTAACGTAAAGTGCTAGCTTCACGTGGAAGTCAAAACTGATAGAGCTCTTGCGAGCATGGATCTAAATGTGTACCGCAACAGGTACACACTTAGATCTGTTGTGTGATCCCAGCTTTGGGCGCTTTTTGCACAGGCCCTCAAAGGTGATACTTCCCAGGCTCCGCTTGCGTGATCGATGCTGGATGATCCTTTTGCGCTCGAGCTTGCTGATCTTAAGCTGCAGAGCTCACTGCGTTCCACCACAGAATGACACGTTAAGACGCGTTAAGTATTCTTTGTACACATGTAGGCCCTGCGGCTAAGTATTCATCGACGTTACACCCCGATTTTCAACCCCATTCTATCACGCTTCACTTCACGAGAGTTTCCGTTAGCCACAGTGTGTCCCGACTTCGACTATCTTGGCTCGCGTTCCGCGATGCACTTCCCATGGCATTTGCCTCTGCAGCCTGTTGCGCCTATGCAGCCAGTTGTTTCACATCATCCACCAGCGTCCAGGCGCCGCTCTATCCACCTCCACACTTACCTTATATCCAGTACCACCACCAATGATGCACTACTACGCTCCGCTTCACCGCAGCCCTCCTTTCTACACCCAGACTGCAGCCCATGCCTGTCGCACAGGCACTCGCTTACCTTCAGCGCTTTCATGGCAGACTGGCTCCACAGCATCAGTCCAACCTCCTACCGCTGCAGCCAACACCACTTTTTGCAAACCACCTCCACCACCACCATTGCCACCTCCTCCAGCACAGGCGCCGCTCACCACCTGCTCCGCCGCCAGCACCAGCACCCAATCCAGCGCCACCACCACCGACACCGCCGCCACACATACTCTTTTTCATACCCTTTTCATATCTTTGTCATACCCTTATCAAAGCACCTGTTCCCACCATTCTGCCGGCAGGATTCTGCTCAGTGTTGAAAAAAATTGCCCCTGACACTGTGCCTTCCAGTGAGTTGAACGTGACGCCAAAAATGCCAATCAATGAAGGAATCGCAGCAAGCGCTCGTCAGCTCAAGCCCAAAGTCAAGTCGAAGGTATCGCCGCAGTGTCCAGGTTCTGTTCAGCATACCCTTTTCATGCCGTGTTCAGCATGCTCTTTTCATGCCCTTTTCATACCCTTTTACATCCATTCAATACCCTTTTCATACCCTGTTCAAGACCTTGCAACGGTAGCGCGCAGCTCCT